TCGTCCCGGTGTTTCCGTTGTTTCCGTTCCTCCTGCGGTCCCCCCGGCTCTGCTGGGTGAAGGGCAACGCGGGGGCCGTAACTCAGCCCCCTCGGAAGGGAGTCGCTTGGCTCATATTCGCCAAAACGAGCGCAGGCCCGTTCAGTGGGTCAGAGTGGAATTAGGGCTGTGGGATTAATTATAAACCTTGCCTGTGTCCCCGCTGCTGCCTGGAACGGGGGGAAGGGAGTGGAGGAGAAGTGTAGCTAAATGGATACGTGTTTGTTTATTATACCGTTTATTTGATGAAAATCTGACTGCTGAAGCACCTGTCTTTAGTATAACCCATGTTATACAACCCCTATTACATTACAGGGCAACTTTAGCAATTCTCCTCCTTAGAGTTTTGGAAATAATCTTTTCTTCCCTAAATGCTGCAGAAATCTTCGTGTTTTTTTTGGGCATTACTGAAGAGACAAGAGTAGTGATATGTATATATAAAATTAACTAGTGCTTTTACCTTTGCTTCTCACTTGCCTACACTGCATTCCTTGATTACACTTATTTGTAAGGCACTGAGTTTAGCTAGTTTGTTATGACTTTCTCTACCTTTTACTCACTGTTTTTCATATGTGGATAAGGTTGCAGTCTGTAGTCCAAGTTACTAAAGCAAGGCATAATTTTGCAGCAGAGTTACTCAGTACTTAAATTCATCCTTTAAGGAGCTTTGAATTTGTAGCTTGCCCTTGAAAGTGAGGTAAATTTGCTGATTTGTTCCTGGTGAAACACTTGTTGATTGTACATAGGGTGTGCCTTGCTCAATCACAGCAAGCCTGCTCATAAAATCCTTCTATAGGTAGCAGAGTTGGGGTTTTCCATTAAAAATAAATAAATAAAAATTCAAACAAGGTAACTAACGGTGGCTGGTGTAAGCGCTACGCTAGTACACGTTCGTTGACTCTTAGTTACCTATAGAGTAGGTAAGCACATTAGTGGACTAACTGATTAAGAACTCCCGTTTCTTTGGCTGCTTCTTGTCTTCAGTCATTCCTATGTGACTTGATCATAAATTTTGGAGCTTTTTTTTTCCTGAGAATTGTGCACCTGAAGTTGGCCATGGCAAATGAGTTTCCTGCTGTGGATTCTTTGGGGCAGTGTTTTATGTGCTTAGCTTAAATATGTCTGTCTTCAGCTGAGAAGGTCTTTAAACCAAGAACTCTGTTAGATTGTTTGTCCTAGCTCTGTTTTACCCCCAAATTAAGGTGAGATGTGAATCATAACATGATCCTTTTGTTAACAGGTGGTTCATTAACCAAGTTGGCTTATTATTCAACAGTGCAGCATAAAGTAGCAAGAGTGAGGTCCTTTGATCATTCTGGAAAGGTAAGAAGTGCAACATATGGTGCGTCAGTTGCATATGGATGACTTGGAACAAATGTACAGCTAAATGCAGAAAGTCTTAATTAGTATGTACTGATATGCTTAAGACTATCCCAAAGCATTTTTCCTGTAGCTTGGCAGAGTGTGTATCTCCTGTTAATAACCTTTAGGGGCATTCCAGGAGAAGTTAAACTTCACCTTGGATTGGGCAATTGCTTTTGCTTTGCAAGCTTTATATAGGTCTAGATCCAAATTTGCATGCATCGTAGGTGGTCCTGTCAGTATAAGACTAGTGGTGAGATTTTGAAGTTGTGCAGTCCATACATGAGCACTCAGTTATGTTGCTGATCTCCTGTAGGCTTTAGGTGTTCAAATTGCCTGGATTGCTACAGCTGATGATTGAAATAGTTATTTTATAGATGGATTAGTATGACACTGTGGTTTAAAAAACAAATAAATAATCCACTCCTCTATGCAAGCATAACTTTGTCTCACACATTGACATCAAATATGTATGATGTATGGGAGGGAACTGGCTTCTTACAGAATAGCAGGCTTTATTAGAATTGCTTTCTGAATTGAAAGCAGCTTGGGATGTTCTGCTGTGGTAACTGTAATGTAGTGTGGTAACTGTAATGTAGTCAAGGCAAAGGAAGCACAAGTATTGAGTTGTTTAATATGTGCACTTGTTTCTAAATAATAAAATCTGTTTTCTTTTGTGTGTTTTTTTTTTTAAGGACTTAGAACATGAACCTTTATATGAAATATCAGTTCAGGAGGAGATTACAGCTCGACTTCACTTCATTAAGTTTGAAAACACTTATATTGAAACCTGCCTAGATTTCATCAAAGATCATCTAGTCAATACAGAGACAAAAGTAATCAAAGCTACAGGTGGTGGAGCCTATAAATTTAAAGATCTTATTGAGAAGAAGTTGGGGTTGAAGTAAGTAGAACTGTTAAAGTTTTAAGAGATTAGCAGGAGCCGGGAGCTAGTTCTAAAAGCTCCTAATACTTTTCTGTTCGTGCCCAGAGATGAGTCCTACCTAAACCTCACATAGAAACATAGCCTTGGAGGAGAATGAAGTGACAGTCCCATGAATTTACAGTCTCGTTTTATTACCATTCAAGCACCTTTATCAAAAGCTATGTAGTGAAAAGCTACTGTAAATACAGATAAACTTATCTCTTACACCAGTATAAAACACTACCTGATATTCTTAGCAAAAACTTCAAGGCCTCACTTGGTAATTTCAAGAAGTACCACCCTCAATTTTTAAAATATTATACTCGGCTCCCTTTATGTTGACTTTCCAAGTTACTCTCCTTTTTTAAAAATGTTTTAACTAATGTTCTTACTCATTCCTAGGACTGATTTTTTTTTCCCCTTTTCCTTCTTTCTTTCACCTTTCTTCAGAGTAGATAAAGAAGATGTAATGACCTGCCTAATTAAAGGATGCAACTTTGTGCTAAAGAACATCCCGCATGAAGTGTTTGCATACCAGAAAGATTCGGACACAGAATTTCGATTTCAGACAAACCACCCAAA